CACCAGTAAATCTAGATCGGTAATGAAGAAAATTATAGAAGGAGTAGCAGAACCTGGGGGTGGAGTCATAAGAGGGATCAGCCTAGAATCGCTACGTAGCCACAAATGAGTCCAAAATCCCCCTTGAATGTCATTGAAACTTACCTAACTCTAACCCAGTGCTAACCTTCGGTTGAGAAGATTCCTGTGCAGAGGTTTTTAGCAGTGGTAGGATTCAAATTTGTGGGAGGGGCTTGGTGGGCGTGGAAGGGTAAGGTTACTGCAAAATCCCCATTCCCTCCCCACCCCACTAACCTGCTTTCCAGCTCCGTTCTCCTGTGCAGGGCAACCAAAGAAGACCCAGCCGATCAGCTGGGACTCAATGGGAGGCGGAGAATAGATGGGGGCGGGGCCAGTCAGAGGTGGTATTTTCTGGTTCTCTGAACTACTCAAAATTTCCGCTACCGGTTCTCCAGAACTGGTCAGAACCTGCTGAATACCATCTCTGGTTTTTAGCAAAAAATCAATGTAATTGAATCTTCACATGTGGGCTTGGTCTTTCACACCTGACACTAATATCCTACCTAGAAGAAAACAGCAGCAAAATCATGTTCATATTATTTTACTGAATTATTTATAAACAACAATAAAGGTGGGATTAAAAATAAATGTGTAAATAAATAAAAATCAGTGCCAAGAAAATTTTTTACCAGAAGTTGCACATGACTCGAGGGAATTTGTCTACACTTAGATCTCGTGGTGCTAGTTGGTTTGCACGACGGGACCAGGGGAATATCCGAAAGAGTGTTTTCTTGGCATTTTGCAGCTCATCTTTGGTGAAAATACAACACTACCAGGGAGCCTGAGCTTCTGGTTTTTGAAATCCCACTTTTGAATTTAAAAGCACAACAGAAGGGCATGTCTTCCTTTGCATTTAATTACACTGGCAGATTTGTCTTGGGCACTTACTTGCAAATGCCTTGAGAATTGTTTCCATAAATATACCACAAAAGGCTGTGCAGAATTCCCCAAGGATTTTGCAGGGACGTATCTTTCATCGTCTGGCTCCTTGGCAAGAAACTGATGGTAAGATTTGCTTCAGAGGGAAAGATGACCTACTTTTCCTTTCCTTAAAATATTTCAGTGTTACGTTTCTGCTGCTAAATACCATCCAGTCCTTCAACTTACAAGGAGAACAGGAAAATCGTATTCAAAGTCAGCTCTAAAAATTGCCTTTTTGCTTTTTTTCTCAAAGCTGCAACATTTGTGTAGTTACACAACTACACAGTTGTATAAAGTGCTGTGTAGTTATAAAAAGCATCAAAAAGCGGTCAGGAAATTTCTCCTTATTTCCAGGTTGAATCTCTCCTTGTTCAGTTTCCATCCATTATTCCTTGCCTGGCCTTCGGGTGCTTTGAAAAATAGCATGACCCCCTCCTCTCTGTGGCAGCCCCTCAAATATTGGAGTGTTGTAATGATGAGGCAGTCGAGTTGTTTGATCACGATCAACTGAATCATGATGATCTTTATTGGAGTCTAGTCTTGTATTTATACACATTTTTAGTTATCCTCAATCATTGGTTAACTTTGGTTACTGCTTAACTTTCGTTACTGTTTAGCATAGTAATTAACACAATGAATTATTTCTAGTTAAAGTCTAACATATGTTTACTTCCTCTCTCTAATCCTCCTCTAGATTAGTGACTTTGTTTGCCTGAGTTGTATTTGCCTGGAAACATTCTTTATCTGAGGTTTGCCATCCGAGAGATTGGAACATTCCTGCAATTGCAACTCTACATTGGAGCACTGTTATCCAGTCTCCCCTGGTCCTTCTCTTCACTAGACTAGCCAGGCCCAGTTCCTGTAACTGTTCTTCATATGTTGTAGTCTCCAGTCCCCTAATCATCCTGGTTGCTCTTCTCTGCACTTTTTCTAGAGTCTCAACATTTTTTTTATTGTGGAGACCAAAACTGGATGCAGTATTCCAAGTGTGGTCTTACCAAGGCAGTCTAAAGTGGTATTAACCAGGGGTGGGCTTCAAAAAATGTAACCTCGATTCTCTGGGAGGGCAAAAACAGCCTCCCTGGGCTTTGGAGGTCCTCTGGAGGCCAGAAATGGGCCCTTTTCCGGCCTTCTGGAACTTTTGGGAGACCTGTTTTTCGCTCTCCCCAAACCTCTGCACAGCCCTGCACTTACCTGAGATCCAAAACGGATCATGCGGGGAGTCCTGGGAGGGGTGGGGTGGGCGGGGCCAGCCAGGGGTGGGATTTGCTGGTTCACCGAACGGGACATAAAATTAACAACCGGTTCACCTGAACCAGTGTGAACCGGTAGCAGCTCAGCCCTGATATTAACACTTCGCCTGATCTTGATTGTATCCCTCTGTTAATGCAATTTAGGATTGCTTTGGCTTTTTTGGATGCTGCTGCACACTGCTGGCTCATATTTAGCTGGTTGTCCACTAAGACTTCAAGATCCCTCTCACAGTTACTGCTATTGAGCCAAGTGCCACCTATACTACACCCGTGCATTTGGCGTTTTTTGCCCGAATGTAGAACCTTACTTTTAATAATCTTACATTTCTCAGTTTTAATTTTTTCAGTCAATATCCAGAGATATCACCCACATAAAGCAAAGTTCTTTGAGATCCTCTATCATTCTTTTTTTTTTTTTTTTTTAACAAGTTTTATTAATTTTTAAAACACACAAATTATCATTATTCATTACATGTTTAAACCTTTTTCCCTTGTAAATTTAACAAGTCAGATAAATTATGATTCTGTTTTAAACCATTTCCATATAATATACCAAAACCTCTTATTCAATTTCTCTTTACTTCTCTTTACTCTTATTCAATATCATTATTATTATTTCATCTGATTCTTTCTGACTTAGTTACCATTATTCTCATTCTATATTTCTACAAGTTTTTACCAATTCTCCCCCCAAAAAAGACATATACACACAACACACAAAACATAAAAAAAATATCTTTTTGGAAAGTAACTTGGACCCAGGTGTCTCTCTCTTCATGGACTTCAATTATATTCATGCTCATCTTACATATCATTACTTATTTTATTTACCATTCTAAGCCTTCTATATTAACTTCTCCACATATTTCACACTTCTTAATTCTACCTTAATTAATCATCTTAGTTTAAATCATTATATTTGTATCTTTTGTCCATTTTTTATCATCCCTTTGTCTCATCCCTTATGAAAAAAAAGAAAATCAGTTTCTCCTGAAATCATTAATCAGAGTATGATGCCTTTCTATCTCCCCCCTAAGTTAATCAAATTAATCTTTAAAATAATATCTAATACCCAATCAGATTTTGCTTGGTACATTCTATCTAACTAATACATCCAACACAATTAAGTGCATAATTAGAGAATAAATCCAAATATTAAAAAGAAATACTATAATAAAGATTTTATAATAACATCAATACCATAATTTTATTAAACTCTTTAATTAAAACAATATTCTAAACCCCTCCTATTATTAAGTTTTAAAACCAATCATTTTTAAACATTTTAACATTTTAATCTCTTATCAACTCTTAAACCATTGCAATACTACCATCTCATCTTATGTACCTTGCAAAATCTTTTTTTTTAAAAAAAAAAAATTATACTTTATCCATTATCCATAAAAAATTCCTTTTTTCCATTTAATTTCAAAACGTTGTAGCTTTTCTCCACCTTTTCCCTTTCTTTCTTTTCCCAACAAACCTTTCTACCCCCCCTTCTTCTAGCCTCTACCTTACCGGCTTCCCTTCTCTGTCGTATTTCTTTTCCCCTTTGTTTACAATCATCATATTGGTTTTGCACTTTATTTTTCCCTTTCTTAAATGTTTTTTTAGATCTTAAGTCCTTAAATCCTTTAGTTTTCTTCTTTTCTCTTCTTTTCTTTTCTTTCTCTCTTCTTTTTTTCTGGATCAAATTCTGAGATTCATTAAAGATGGCTCCTTCCTTTCTTTCTTGTTCCTCTGCTGTCTTCATCTGTTGTAATTTTTGTTGATAATTAGTAAGCGCCATTTCTAAGAAAAGGAAAGCTTCTTCCACACCATTTCTTAGTTCCTCAACAGAAAGAGCCATTATAAATCTTTTCTTTTCTTTTCTCCTTCTTTCTTCTTACAACAACCAGAATATTCAAAAGAAAATAAAAAAGATAAAACAGTCCCAAAGTTATCAATCAGTCCAAACCAAGGCAGAGTTCTCACTTTCTCCTTCTGGGGTGATATCAATCAAAGAGAAAGAAAGTCCAAATCTGTTTAAAGTCTTGTTACAATATATTCTAGTCTTCAAATCCTTAAGGCATCTGCTCCAACAAATCTTAGCATACAAATATTTTCTTTTTAATCCTCTCTCTTCCCACTCATCGCTTAAAACCAATTTCCACCTAAAAAAATAGGTTTCTTAATATCCAGTTATTTATTCCGTAGGAAAAGAGGGAAAGCTATCCTTTCAGCACCTTCAAGCAGCCGCTTTTTTCCTCTTCTGGCAGGTATTATTCAGAAAGTCATACTTTTCAGGAATTTTATTAAATATGTCTTAGAGTCCTAGGAGCCAAGAAAAACTTTCTCCTCTCAATCACTTTCTCCACTTCCTCCTGCGCATTCTTACCCGGCTGCCAGCTTCTTTGTGGCGGCCATTACGGACCGCCGCTGCACCGTCCTGGGAAAAGGGGGTTCTGCCGGCCAGGGAGGGGGTCTGCAGCACCCCCAAACCCTTCTCCGGATCCCCCCTACCTTCAGCTGCCCCTGCAGGGCAGCCTAGCTCCGTACCCGGCTGGGTCGGAGCCCCAAAAACGGCTAGCGCGGCAGGGATCGCACAGCTTCGCAAATCCCTGCCGCTCGCGAAGCCGACAAACCGGAAGTTCCCAGATCCTCTATCATTCTTAAACATGTAAAAGGGTCGAGAAACCTAAATGTTTGAAAATTGGTAGATAGATAATTCTGGGATGTCTTCCACTTCCAAAATTCTGGAATTTTTCAATATTTTTTCCCCTTTTGATGCTCTTCTAGGTTGCAGAGATGGAGGAAATGACCATCTGGGAGCAATATACCATTACGTTGAATCGGGTAAGTAGAGGCATTGTAGTAGCCACCATAAGAATCAAATAAATAGTAATAATTTCACGCTACATGTCTTTTATACTTCCATATTTCCTTGTCTGAAGTGTTTGTTTCCATATTAATAGTTTTTCTTTTGTTTTTGTATTTGTGATATTCATAGAGTAGATTTAATTTTTTAAATTTAATGTGGAATAAATGGACTTGTTATTAAATTAATATTATTTTGTTATATATTGATTTTATTTAGAAAGAGTTCATTATCTATGGAGATTCTCAGTCATCCAGGTCATGGTTGTCCCACGGGTGCTTTTTCAAGAGGCAACTGGATTTTGTTTTCCCTTGAAGAGGTTTTGCTTCTTATCCAAGAAGCTTCTTCAATACTGACTGTCAGAACTGAAGAAGCTTCTTGGATGAGGAGCAAAACTTCTTCAAGGAAACACAAAGTCCAGCTGCCTTTTGAAAAAGCGCCTTTGAGGCAAAGTAATCATTAGAATTTGTGGACTCGCTGGGGTTTACTCAATCCTTGAATCTCAGGAAATAAATAATAGAACAAAAGAAATAGAAGAGAATATTTGACGCTCAGGGTTAAACTGTGGGGTCCTTGGTGGTCTCTGAGTTTGATGGTTTTCTTGCAGGCATTTCATTACCAAATTAGGTAACATCATCTGTGCTAATAGAAAGTGCTCTGAGCAAATCCCACTTCCTATTAGCACTGATCATGTTATCTAGTTTGGTAATGAAACATCTGCAAGAAAACCACCAAGCCCAGAGAGCGCCAAGGACCCCACAAAAGAAATTTTGCATTTATTTCTCATATCAATTCCTATAGTCTTATATCTTCTTCTCCTTAGAATAGAATAGAAAAACAGAGTTGGAAGGGACCTTGGAGGTCTTCTAGTCCAACCCCCGCTTCGGCAGGAAACCCTACATCACTTCAGACAAATGGTTATCCAACATCTTTTTTAAAATCTTTCAGTGTTGGAGCATTCACAACTTCTGGAGGGAAGTTGTTCCACTGATTAATTGTTCTAACTGTCAGGAAATTCCTCCTTAGTTCTAAGTTGCTTCTCTCCTTGATACGTTTCCATCCTTATTGCTTCTTGTCCTGCCTTCAGGAGCTTTGGAGAATAGCTTGACTTCCCTCTTCTTTGGGGCATCCCCCGAGATATTGGAAGACTGCTATCACGTCTCCCCTAGTCCTTCTTTTCGTTAGACTGGACATACCTAGTTCCTGCAGTATTGAGTTATGTTCTATTTTCTTGCAATGAGAAGTGCAAGAAAAGAGCTTAACCGTTTCTCCTTTCATGCAGGATCCCCGGAAGGGTTTTGGCATTGCCATTTCGGGTGGCCGTGATCGTCCAAACAGTTCAGATGGTGACACCTCTATTATCATATCAGATGTGGTGCCTGGAGGCCCAGCTGTGGGACGACTCCAGTAAGTACTTTAAAATCGCAAACTCATGAATCAAGAAAAACGAAAGTTTTTCTTTCCTCTTTCAAGATCCAGTTGCTCTTTGCCTTCTGTGATGTCACAGCAATTGAACCAACGACTGGGCCAATGGGCCATGCTTACGGCTTTCTGGGGACAGCAATTGTGTAAATTATCTCTTTGGGCACCCACTTGCTTGCTCACTTAGTGCCTACACTGTGCCCCACCTTAGCTGAGATGTTTCTGGTGGAAAAACGGGATAATATTTCTTAGTTATAGCACTTAGAAGTAGCCCTCAACATACGACTGGTCGCTTAGCAAGCATTCAAAGTTACAACAGAACCCCACCTCCCAGAAGGGACCTATGATCTGATTCTGGAGTACTGAAGGTGGCACACACATACAAACACACACAACACACAAACTGAGCAGAGACATGACTGCATTTTGGTTATTTGGCAACTGGTTCATCTTTATGACCGGTTGTAGCATTCTGCAGTCACATGCTGCAATTTCTGATATATATATATATATATATATATTGGGGGGGGGACTAGAAAACCTATCCTTTGAGCCAGTTTCCAACAAAAATCACCAATAGGAATGAACTAATTTGCTTAACGACTGCAGTATTCACTTAACAACCCCTGCAAGAAAAGGTCACAAAATTGGGTCTGTCATTTGAGTGCCTCAGTATTATTTCCATTTTTCCATTATGGTGGAAATTCCAGGTTCCGTTGTGGTTATCAATTCAGGACTACATGTAATTATTAAATGGTCAAACTTTCACCTTCAGGAGGGTGATCTTGGCATTCCCTTCTTGGCACTTTAATTCCATTGTGCCACATTGTGCGATGAAATTTCTTTGCTGTCTCAAACAACTGTATTGTGTGCATGCTGCTTTTTAAAATAGTTCAGTGGACTTTTACATGAAGAAGATCTGGAGATGGGAAATAGTCTGTGTCCTTGGCTTATATGCCACAGATCAAATTCTGATATCTCTAAATAGGTGAGCATTAGACCCCAGTTGTGATTTCTGGAGAAGCCGGGACAGGAAAGATCATAAAACAATAGGTTAAAAAATATGAGCTGTGTAAGCCAGTTTCCTATTGTATTCCTGTTTGTTCATTTAGAACAATGAGGACTAGAACCTTATGGTATCCTGAAGGAGCACAGTAAAAGTACTTTGACTTGCAGGCCATGAGGGTGAAGGAGTGGCATGTCCCATGCAGAGGTGGTATTCAGCAGGTTCTGACCAGTTCTGGAGAATTGGTAGCAGAAATTTTGAGTAGTTCATAGAACCAGAAAATCCCACCTCTGACTGGCCCCGCCCCCGTCTGTTCTCTGCCTCCCGAGTCCCAGCTGATTGGCTGGGTTTTCTTTTGTTGCCTTGCACAGGAGAATGGAACTGGAAAGCAGGTTAGTGGGGTGGGGTGGGAATGGGGATTTTACAGTAATCTTCCCCCAGGAGTTGGGAGGGAATGGATATTTTACAGCAGGGGTCCCCAACCACCGGGCCGCAGACCGGTCCCGGTCCGTGGAACATTTCCTACCGGGCCGCCGGTTTGCTGGGCGCCGCCATCTTGTTTGACGAGAAAGTGCTTCCAGGTGAGCTTTTCCGGTTGGAAAGCGGCGTTTGGGTCCTGAAGGAATCTTTGTGCCTTAGTTTCATTGAAGGAGGGGGGGGGGGGCTTCGAACGAAACTAAGGCGCGAGGATTCTTTCAGCACCCAAGGCAAGGCGAGCCGAGCGACCGTCCCGAAGCCGTCCCGAAGCGAAGCCCATCGACAAAGGTACAAAGGAGGAGTTGAAGGTGGCGGGGAGAAGCGGGGGACGGCTGGCTGGCCGGTCGCTCGGCTCGCCTTGCCTTGTCATGCATGCTGATGCCGGTACCGGGCCGCGGATCATTTTGTGATGCCGGTACCGGGCCGTGGCACAAAAAAGGTTGGGGGCCACTGTTTTACAGTATCCTTCCCCTGCCACACCCACCAAGCCACACCCACCAAGCCAGGCCATGCCCACCAAGCCACA